TGGACTTTTTACCCCAATCAGTCTCTGGTAAGCCCCCAAACATTTTTTGGGAGGGCAATATGAAATCACTGGAGTGGCCTTTTAACTAAACACACTTTTATATTAATCATCAAGCCTCATACGAGAACAGTATTGTATCCTACACACCTTTAACTTTTTTCTGTGATGTTTGTGAACACAAGTGTTCCAAGGAAGAAGCTGGTGGAAACCTGAGTTGAGTGTGTAGATGGAGGAACTGCCAGCAAGATTTCATTTCCTAACGTTTCCACCAGCGTCGTCTTGCAACAACTCACCTCTCACGATATTTTAAGTGTCCTTGAGTGAGATTTCTGTTTCAGGGATCCTTTCCATGAGGTTTTCAGACACCTGGTGTAACAGTCTGAGCCTGTCAGTGGGGAAAAAAAGAAGCACTTTTTGTGGATGGGCCTATTGCCCTCAAGGAATATGTTGCAGCCACTGCAGCTGGTTCACAGCTGCTGGCTGAAGTCATCTACGCACGGATTCCAAAACCTTTTCCACATACTAGTCACTTTAATTCCAAAATATGTGAAAATAGGGCCCAGGTTTTAAAATACCAAAACTACCCTTTAAGAAATCTATATGTAAAATTCAAAATCACTGCAAGAGTTATTAATGCAGAATCTCCTATCTGTGGAAAGAAGGCCAAATGTTGTCCAGCAGGGTTGGAACAGAGCTCAAGACTAATAGAAAGGAATGAGACATTCCTCTTTTTGTTCATCCATAGAGCAATAGGCTAACACTGTATGAGGCATGACCTTCTCTGTCTGTGTGAACATACAGCCAGCACACTTAAGGTGCTTCAGCCTTGTTTGCAACCCCTGGATATTTCCCCCGACGCAGAGTCATGGTGTCACTGTGGCAGTGTAGAAACGGAGACGCAGGCCACAGCACCGCCACCTGTGTTTACTGAGGAGGTTCTGTATTTTTTTCTGTCAGCGCCACAAAATAATTGGATAATTTGCTGGGAGATTTTCAACACAGTCTAATGTATCATTTGCGTGTTACAAAGAATTTCCAACAAAGAAACGACAGCCTTTAAAGAAACTGGTTAAAATGCTGGATGGATCTGTATGATCCATCCAGCATTTTAAACATGCTGGTGATACATGTGTAGAAAACTGAGCAATAATATATACTAATACTAATCCAGAGTTAAGCTTGTTTTAGGTAGTGTGGTGAGTAATCTCATAGCTCGAGGCCTAAGCTGCAGTAAAGTATGAGTTCATTTGACTGACGCTGGAAGCACATACTTCCAGCAGCACTTTGCTCACACAGTATGTGGTAATTGTCCAACGTTTTCAAGTTTATTGGCCTTCATTTTTTGAGAATGAGGCATTGAACAGTTATTTTGGTCCATGTCTCACTACATACTATAAATGGAGAACTAAATCAGAGTGTCACACAAACCTGCGCTGTCTTTGCTTTACAGCTATTAGTGCCCCCGAATCGCCAACTTTCCATCAGCTTAGGCCTTTTGTTTGTTTCACAGACTGAAGTTGACTGTATCTTGACTCTTGAGAGAATCACTGATTTAAAGCTGCACTAAACATGGTGATAATGGATGTGAAATGTAAAAATGGTCAATCATAGTGATGAATCCGCAGAGAATTATCGCCAACCCTGCAGCTCCCCCAGCTCTGACCGGTGGTGGAAATGGCCATGTTTTACTTGGGGAACCAGACTTGGATGAAGCTTCTTATTCGGCTTCCAAAAACATGTTCTGCTATATTCTGCTCTGCTGCTCTCCAACAAGAACAACAAGAACAACAACAACCAAATAATCCAGATTAATGTTACATTAACTAGAATAAATTCTGAACAGGATTAGAATGTAATATTTTAAATATAACAAAATGTTGTTTTCTAGAGCAGCAATAGTGTTTAAACAGCAAACAATCTATATACTTTATAGCTACTATATATACTTTGTACAGGTTTACATGTTTATGCTTGTTGAACAGGTGTAGTATTGGGTTTTTACTCAAAGGTTTTATTGCACTTACAGTCACAAATGTAGTCGTTGTCAACTCTGCTGACCACTGTGTCTGTAGGAGCTCACATAGTGCAGGATTTCAACACAGATTTGTTGTTCCTAATGCTACCATTAGAGTATTCACAGAAGGAATATAGTGCGTTCATAGTGAGTTTACTGCGTCTTTTCTGATTTAAATGTGTAAGAGGTGCAGGACACGTACGTAGCAACATCACTGCAGCTTCAAGCACAGCTGTAGCTGTCATTTTAAAATCCCAAGAGACTCAAAATGAAGTTAGCAAAGCATGTATGCCTTCCAGCACCTCAATCAACTTCACACTACTGCCTTCCCTTAGAATACTCTTAACAGTGAAGGTCAAAAAGGGTGGCTGTGCCTCTGGGGAAAACAAAGGGTTGTTTAAATAATAGCCGACATTGTGCTCTAAGTCATTTATCACCAACCTTTTTTTTTTTTCTGCAATTAACCATTTCAATTTCAAAAATGCTAAATGAAAAACTAATGCTAATTTGGATCAGAGATTTTAATTCACTCAGCATTTTGACCAAGGTCAGTTCCTTATTTGAAACTGCTGGAAACATCATCCTAAACATCATTTGCAATCTTGGAACTCGAGAGCTCTTTGCCCCATTCACATCCTTACTATCTTCTTTGTCTACACATTAACTATGCAAATCAAAAGGGACATTTAACAGAACTAAATTGCTGGTTCAGCTAAATAACAAGAAAATGTTTCTCACTTACCTCTAGTGGTATGGAGCAATGCAGATAGTTTGATTTGCCAAGAGTTTGAGACATCCATCACAGATTGCTGCCAATACAATGAAGGTGAATGGAAATTTTTCTTGTCATGCTTAAAGCATTACACACACAAATGTCCTTGTTTGCTAATGAGAATCCTAATTGGATTCCCATTAGCTTCCAAAAATACACAAAGTCAGATAGGATTAATAGGACAAAAATCTGGTTATAAAAGAAAGAAAGAAGAAAAGTTAAACATGGCAAAATGAAAGAAAGACGGTCAAGGATATTGGTTTAGAACAAGACTGGAACCTAACTTAGAGAGAAAGAGATAAGACACCGAAAGATTACAGAGATTGACATTGGAACATTTTTGGTAGCTCTTTGTATTAATATTGTATTTGAAATGAGCAGGGACAGGTTTCTGTCAGAGAAGGCTGTTAATACAAGGGTGTCTATCAAGTAATTTGTTTTTGGTTTGGTCAGAGATACTTTAATTAACACTTCTGATGTTCCTTGCAATATGCTTGTGTTACTGGCTAGTATACTTAAGCTGGGCCACAAAAAAAACAGTTAGTTTTGTCAAACATGATGTGATATTGACAGTGCAGAGCTAACCAAGCTGCTCTGCTTTGAATAAACGGAGCTTTTGGTATAGATTTCTAATTGGCTGTGGATGAAACAATAGAGCAACGTTCACGGTGGTGTGGTTGAACTGATTCTTACATTTAAGTTAATCACATTTAACTCATTAACTTATATCTTCAACCAATTTGGAGGTCTTTGCGCCCTCTGTGACCCTTTTCTGGTAGGCAAAGATATTAACATGTGTCTCTGTAGAAGCATAATTCCAGCTAGACCAATGAGGAGGTTGAGTTGAATTATGGGAATTGTAGGATCCAGCATTTTTGGATCTTTACCCATATAGGGACTAAAAGCTTTCTTTTTAATACGCTACTCTTATGAGCTGCCCAACTTTATGACTAAACTTTAAGGTACCGGTTCTTTTCAGGTTTCAAACTTGGTTAGTAAACAAAAAAAAAAAGAAGCTTATGTTCAGTTCAACTCTGGTAATCTGTCTCAAAGCTTGTAAACCTACAGTTAGTTTGACTGTTTTCCCACTGAGAGTGAGAGAGGGAGGGAGGGAGGGAGGGAGTGCAGTCCCTTTGGCTGCTGAAGCCATGAGAGGTCTATTACAGTAATTACTATATCACCATGTGTCACAGTCAGGGAGCCAGAAAGGAGATTGTAGAGAGGAGTGTGAGAAAGGCTATAAATGTAGGGTGGTAAAATGAACCCTTATTTCTTTATGAGAGTTTGTTTCATATAATGTGCACTCTATTACCCGAAAGAAATGTGTTGAAGTGGCTTTGTAGTGATTCTCAGAGGCGTACTGCAGTTTGTCTCAGGCTGCCAGCCCAGCCGTGGTTGTGGAACCTGCAGAACGTCAGCAGCTCAGCCTCAGTAGGAGAGGAGAGGGAGGGAGGGTAGATAAATAAGCCCATAAAGGATGCTTTGAGTCAGGCAGAGAGGTGGAGAGGAGTGGGGGCTCCGGTAAAACGGCCCCCAGGCTTATTAGAGGCTGCTGGCTGCATTGCAGAGAGCTAGGGAGCTAGCAGTGGTGTCCAGGGAGGGGAAGCGGCAAAGACGGGGGGGGAAGTGAAAGGGAGAGAGGAGCTGTGCAGGAGAAGCGCAGCAGTGTCGGTCTGCCAGCCAGCCAGGCGGGACAGTGTGACAGAGGAGGAGAGGGGGAGAAGGATTTAGGCTCTGCTGCAAACAGGGGATGCAGAGACGAGTTGATGCTGCAGCACAGGACAGAGGAAGAGGGGCTGAGGAAACCTGGGGATGATTCATTACCAGGGAGCAAAGAAGAAATCTGACTTGAGGACGACGCCAAGATCGAGCGCCCAACTTTGGCCCTCAGTCATAACCTTCACCATCACTTTGGCACCTTGCACATGGTGGAGCTGAGATGGAGAGCACCAGAGGCAGAGACCAGACTAGCTGCTGCCTCCAACCTGTAATTTACAGATGTAAGACTGCATCAGCATCTGCTGCTGGCTGAGCCCCTCTGATCACATCGCAGCTGGGGGGCTTCATGCCCCGGGATAGTCCTGGGAGATCGAGGGAGGAGGTGGTCGAGGAGGAGGAGGAGGAGGAGGAGGAGGAGCAGGCAGTGGGGAGGCTGGCTCAGAGAAGTGGTGGAGGGTGATGGTTTAAGCTGCCGGCTGTATTTTTGGATGTGGGATCTCCTGAATTAAGTGAGCAAGCTGGAATAAAGATGTAGTGTGAGCTGGTGGAAGGAGGGGGACAGAACAAGGAGAGCGCTGTGCTGAGGAGAGGAGAGGGCTGGACGGACCAGGCGGACGGAGATCTGGGGGGAGTCCTGAGGGGGAGAAGAAGACAGAGGGTCCACTGGATCAGGAAGGTAAGGTTTTAAATAATATGTTTTGCACTAAGAGACTATGTGTTTGTGATACAAATTGCCCCCACTAGGACAGAACGATGAGACAAATCCTTCTTTTTCTGGTTCTACAAAGTGCTAGTTTAGCATTTACACTTGAGTTTAGGATTAAGATCTGATCAAGATTAGCTAGGGTAAGGTTCAAATTTGGGTAATCCTTCAGATTTGGCAGGTAGATGTAAATGTTTGAGAAAAAAAGAATGAATGAAAGTATTCACAAGTGAGACCAAACATACTGAAGAGAGACAGAATGGAAAGTTTTAGAAAAATTGGAATAAAGCAACATTAATACTGAGAGAGTGACAAAGAGTGTGTTCAGACTTGCAGTGTGAGGTAGAGAAAATTTCTTTCCTGATCCTGTGAGTGTGTCTGTGTGAGAGTGAGTGAGTTAACTAACCACTTGAACAGGACTAAAGATGTCCTAGAGCTGCTGCTCATTTCTGCTTTATTGGCTGGGGGAAGTTGTAAAATGACTCAGTAACAGCAAAATAATGGGTGTACATTATCACTGTGTTTGTGTTTCCTCCTGGAATGTACTACACGTTCTGCCTTTTCCTTCTGTGGAGGCAGACGGTGACCGTTAGGAAACGGTTGACAGGAACGCCTCAGAGTGGCTGTCTGAAGGCTTCTGCTGTTTTCCAAAGAAAACGCTAGCCTGTTTGATTTTCCATGGCACCACTGCCATGCTGGACCTGCCGGGTCTGGTGGCCTTTTATAAAACGCCTGCTGGTATTTGACAGGCTACTTGTATACAGTGGGACCTCTGGTGAAGTAGATATGCTAAAAAAGGTGAACCGGTATGTGTATCACCACTAGAAACAACAGCAAGACGATGTAACCGCTGAAGGAAGAAATAACATATTATTACAAACGAAAAGCTTGCTCATTTCAACACAGGTTTTGATGTGACAGCCTTGCTTTGTCTTTACAAGTGGCTACTGTTAGCAAACTTTAAATAGATGTGTGACTGACTTTATTCCTCACTAAATAAGAATGGAGGGCCAGATTCTGTGTTTGGGCCCATTTCAATAGCAGGTTGTAAGTACAATTTCTGGGATTACGTTGTTTTTTAACGCTTGTTTTGAATGGTCATTCTGTGAGAGCCTCAAAACTTGACAAAGCCTCCTTGCACACGTCTCTTCAGCTGTGACTACTTTATTTGATTTCCCTCAGCAACATCACTTCCTTCATTATGTAATGAGGACTGTAAAAGAGGATTTTGTGCTACACTCCCTGGAGAAACCTGAGTGGGGGCACTGAGAGAGCCCTCTAGTGGCAAATTACTCTGAAATCCCACACATATTTTGAAAGTTCAGTTCAATTATATTCAGATCAAACAGTAATATGAAAAGTATTTTTTAATCTCTTGTTTTGCTTTTGCTTGTTTTAAATGAGCTGTGTTTGCAGCCCTGCTCAGCTTTGACCTTGACTAATTTTATTGATGGTATCATTACTCACATTAGCAGTGAGTGAGGCTGTGGGGAACTGGTATTGGTGTTAATTGGTGTCATTTATCACATATTGAAGTTTGTAATGCAGTCAATATGAACATGTAGAGCCTGTCCTCTCCTCACTCGGTTCTCCAAGAAACACAGACACCATAGTTCCCTTCTTGGGTGCTCACCCCACTTCCTCCATCCTTGTCTGGTTTGCCTCTGTCATCTTTCTGTCTCTTCTTTCTGTCTGCCCTCCCGCTGGGTATACTTCTATAGAGAGTTATTAAACTTTTCTTAATTAAAAGTTACTTAGTTAGCATGTCGCTACAGCTGCTGCTGTGAAGTCTGCAGCAAGAAAGTTGGTGAACTTGCTACACCCCCATCCATCACCCCAACCTCCACACCCTTACTTTCCACGTACTGTAACTAGGAAAAGAACACTGAATTTTGGCCTTTAATGTACATAGTCGTCCAAAATGACTGTACAGGAATACTGACAACATACCATCATTTGAATTCATTATAGGCAAACTAGAAAGTAAGCTGAATGTCTGTGGGCAGGTTAACATTACCTGACACACAGATCGTGGCTGGAATAGTGCTGTGTTGCAGGTTGCGAGTCACTTTGTTTATTTCCTATTTACAGAGGCAGGGCTGACAGATAGTGGACTATGAGTAGAAATTCACTGAATTGGACAAAAAAGGCGTATATTGAAGTAGTCCCATACCAGTCCTTTTAAGATGGAAACCATTTGTAACTTGGCAGTGTCAAAGGTGTTGCTCATAGTGTCGAGCCCACAAAGAATTATCACCAACTCTGCATGTTACTGTTCAATACTTCATCTCTGTCTCCTTCAGCTCCGCTCCCCGCTTCTATTGGTCCACTCTTTTTCCAAACATATTTCCCCTACCCCTCCCTCCTTCATTCTCCCTCAGCGGGGTAAAAGTCCCTGTCCCTAAGCCAAAACCATCATTCAGTAACACCTGGACCGCCTATTCAGTCAGATACCTGGGGTGCATCCTAATCTGGATCTGTATGTAGACTTGAACCACATGTACACATTCTATGTGAAAGTGGCCAGCATCACTACAACATCTCTCTGGTTACACGTGTGAAATATAAAGCCACAGCTTCCGGCTTTATTTTTATTATTATACTATGAGTTCTGCAAGCACTTCCTTCAGAAATGTGAATTTTTTCCAGAGGGATTGAAATCAAACTTGAAGAATATAAACTGGTAGAGAATTATTTTTATACTTTCGCAATTGTTCTGCTTCATTGTGCTGTTCAGAGGAAAGTAATGCAGAAAGCATATAAAGAATAAACCTTTAATTCTGACTACTTTTATTTGACTGAAAGGTGGTCAGTACATTTTACACAAATAATGAGTGCTTTCATTTTTCATTTTACTGGTGATCACTAGTATTTTTTGAGCATCCAACATTCATCCTATAAAACAGAGTTATCATTGTGCTGCAGCCAGGATAGCCTGGCAGATGTAACCTTGGGGCTAATTGCACCTGTCCCCCCCAGTTGCCTGACTAATCCCAGCTCCTGGCCTGGTGACTGTGGCCCTCTAATCAAGCAGGCCATGCTTGTTATCTGGCCTGTGGCCCCGGGGCATTCACACCACGCTGCTTCAGCCTGTATAATCCACCATGGATCACATATCAAGCAGAAGTTCTTTTCTCTGTGGCCCTCAGAGGCAAAAATGGGATACATATCCCAAAAGCACATACAAGGCAATGTACAACCTCCTGCCTCTAAAGAAAAAGGGGACACTGTTTCTGAAAAGAGATGCTTCTTTTAATTGTTTTAAATACAATTTGTCAGTGCTTTGTAACAACACAAATTCAATTCCAGCCACCTCTATTATATTGAGGTCGAAGCAGAGATCTCAAAGACTTCTTAAAACCTGGTCAAACCAATTCAGATAGTCATTTAATTAATTTGTAAGTCAACCAATCCTTTAAGATTGCACTGAACCTCTGAAACACTTAAGGTTTTACATTTTACTGTATGTGTTGGATTTTTCATCATTTTGAATGATGCTACAGAATTAACTAACTATTAGAATTAATTAATTATTAGTAAATCTGAACAGCCACTCAGAGGGGAGGATAAATTTGCCTGTGCCCGTGTGTCTCACAGAGCTGTATGTAATAATATAAATATCCGTCTGTCTCTCTAACATGGACTTGGCCAGGTGGGGTGAGAGGGGGGGGGCCGTGAGGTAATTTCATGAATGAAAGGACAGAATTGTTCCTCCGTTTCGACTGGTCCTGAGCACTAGCCAAACCCTCGCTGGCCTTTAATTAGAGCTATTAACCCAGAGAGAGGGAAGAAGGGAGCCCCAGAGGGGCTGGTGGAAGGAGGGGTGAGAGGAAGGAGAGTGGAAGAGGAGGGAGAGGAGAACAGACCGGCAGGTAGTGTTCAACTGTAAGTCGAATGCCCATCAAATCTAAGCCAAGTACTCTTTGACAAAGTAGTATTCAGTGCTGTATGTGCTTGCATAGTTATAATAAGGTAGACGTAGAAGCAGTAGAATTCTACTAGAGGTAGTAATGATGGTAATGATAGTAGTAGTACTGGTATTAGTAGCGGTGATACCATTCCTTATATGTAGCAGCAGTAGTAGAACAGTAGTAGTTATAAAAGCAGCAATAGAAGTATTAATAGGTTTAGTAGTACTATAGTAGCAGGAGTAATAGTAGTAGTAATAGCAGCAACAATAGTAGTAGTAAATCTAGTAGTAATCTTAGTAACGGTACTAATAATAGTAATAGTATCAGCAATAGTAGTAGCTTTAGTGCTAATTACAGCAGGGATAGTAGTAGTCATAAAAGCCACAGCCATAACACTGGTGGTGTTATTATTATTATTATTATTAATAGTAGTTTTACCAGTAGTACTACTAATTGCAGCATGAGTTGAGACGTACTTGTAGTAGTAGTAGCTGTAAACCAGTGCTACACTGGGCAGGCAGTGTGTCTATGATGTCAGTGACTGTTGCTGGTGTCTTTTCAGCTGACGGTGGCTGATGAAAGGTTTTACAGAAAAAGCAGGAAATGGCACTAATGAGGAGTTGCAAGCTCTCTGTGTCACAGCCTTCAGTAAGAGTCCAGAGGTCCCACGCTGTGTCTCACCTGACATGCCTGTGGTTATACTGCCCCTTCATTGTACGGAAGGACATGCTCAAGTTCAATTCAAGCACAGTTTACCCACGTGCAAATGATATCTCTCTCTCCCTTGTGTCTTCTCCCTCTCCCTCCTCTGTAACATTTTGTCCTCCTTCTCATTTCCCCCATCATCGTTCCACAAATGCCTCAACCTGTGGCCGAACCCGTCTCATCTTGCTTTCTGATTCTCACCTTGACCTACTACCTCACATCCTCCTCCACCTCCAGATGCCCTCTCGCTGCAGGAATGCGCTGAACATCGTGGTCACCACCCTTTTTGCTGCGGTGGTCCTCTTCACCATCCTGCTGGCCTATGTCACAGGTTAACTTGTGAATTTCAATATTATGCACAGAGAAGCACGTACATGAGAATCCAAACAAGTGATGGTCATGTTTGTTTTGAACTGTTTCTTTGTTGTGAAGGCTACCAGTTCATCCACACTGAGCAGCACCACCTCTCCTTTGGCCTCTATGGTGCCTTCCTCTCCCTCCACCTCTTCCTCCAGAGCCTTTTTGCCTTCCTGGAACATCGGCGGATGAGGAGCCCCGCCCGGCCTCAGCACCTCCGACGCTCCGTGGCCCTCTGCATCGCTGCCTACCAGGAGGACCCAGACTACCTGAGGAAGTGCCTGCGCAGTGTCCGCCGAATCTCCTTCCCTGGCCTGAAGGTGGTGCTGGTTGTGGATGGGAACCGGCCCGAGGACCGCTACATGATGGACATTTTCCAGGAGGTGATGGGCGGGGCTGACCAGGCTGGCAGTATGGTGTGGAAGGGGAACTACCACAGTGATGGAAGTGGAGGAGTAGGTGTCAGAGGTGGAGGGAGGAGCACGGTGCACATGGAGGAGGCAGCAAGAGTGGCTCGACTGGTCAGCGGCTGCCGCTTCTCCTGCATCATGCAGGAGTGGGGAGGGAAAAGAGAGGTGATGTACACTGCCTTTAAAGCACTGGGGGACAGTGTGGATTATGTGCAGGTAAGAGCCACAAACACAGATAGTATGTGAGTACTTCTGCGTTAAAAGAATACAGAAAAGGATTAGGACCATGTGAAAAATGTAATTTAAGTGTAAGAGTTGATGTTAAGACCTACACTGCTAGTCACTTGTATAATGTATTGTGTGGTTCTGGAGGAGCTTTGTCAAGTCTGAAAAAATAACCTTTACCCTACTGCTAACTTCATATTATTCCATTGTTAACATCTTTTCAGGTAATTTGTAATCTGTCCTAAAACTTTTCATGTCTGAAAGACATTTTTCCAAAACATCAATACCCATCATAATCAGAGGCTGGCGGTCGTTCTCTCACCAAATGCATGTTGTGAGTTTGCAAGTGTTCTAGCACGTCGAATCGCTTGTTGATGGATTCTAACATCTTTACAGATTTTCTCCCACATAGGTAGCAGTTCCTACTCACTGTCAGTCATGTTAGAGACTTGACATACATAAGTAGAAGGCACTGAAACTACAACACCGCAAGCTTTGATTGCCAATTTTTATCAAAGGTGGAATTAAAATGTTAAATTGTTTTGGATACATCCTCTGGGGACAATGTATGTCTGTACAAACTTTCATCCATCCAGTAGTTGCCAAAGTGACAGGCCGACACTAATCCCTTAAGCTACGCCGCTAGCATGGCTAAAAACAGGCAACATTCAAAGTCTAAGACGTGAGTAAAAACACTGTAAATTGTACTTGACAAATAAAGACATTTCCTGATTCAAGTCAGCACCCAAATGATTTCTCATGGCTCCAATCTTCTTCCATAAAGGTGACAAAATCAAACAAACACCGTCAGAGTGAAGAAACACCCACTGTTGGCCCATTATGTAGTATTGTCCATCCGTCCCTTATTGTTGTTCTGTTTAGTTACTGTAGTGACTTCTGAGTATTTTCAATCTCCCAGAATATTTCCTTACATTGAGAGGTGTTTGCCAGCTGGCCCCACACTAAAACATTTCCAACAAATATGTATCACACTGTGAACATGGTGGTGAATGTGTGTAGAAGTAGCTAAAAAGAATGATATTATACAAAGCCATCCATGGAGGCCTATTTATATTCATCTGCACGCTCCAACCAGATATAATTGAAGTCAGCTGAATTGCGGATTTGATATCTGCACTGCTTCTCTGCGGGCGCATACTGATGTCAGTATTCCTCTGAATAAAATTGATTTAAAACAGGAAACTGAACATTGTATTCATAAGGTAAATGTGCATTTGTAAGTCAGTATTCGTAAGAGCCAGTGACATTCAAATTGGTTAGACTAGTGCCTAATGTACTTTAAGGTACAAGGTATAAGGTAAATGTTAAATCCCCTCGCTACGTTAAGTCTCCATAGACAAGCATAACCTTAAACCACATTTTAAGACTGGTTCTAATCCTAAATTTAAACAATACAGGCAATATACATTTTAAAACTACAATGTAAACATCTGTGTCTCACCCAAAAGCCACCCAAGTCAAGTGAAAATAAACATTTACTTACTTGCATTCCAAACTGATGGACCTATGTTTGACAACCAACTCACTCTTCATAGCCAGCTGTTGCACGCCCAGTGTGTCTTGTTGTGGGTCAAATCTGTGCAGTTACAATGAAGCAGCTACGATCTGTCAGCAGGATCTCATTTTTCTCATGGATTTTAGCGTTAACACCACTCAGTGTTTCTGCACTACCTGCAGCCTTAATGGTTGTAATATCTTTGAGTATGTGTGTGACCCTCAGCATTGCTGTACCCTGTGTTTATTATATGCCTTTTCAGGTGTGTGACTCCGACACAGTTCTAGATCCAGCATGTACCATAGAAATGCTTAAGATTCTAGAGGAAGATCCGATGGTGGGAGGGGTCGGTGGAGACGTGCAGGTAAAATACAATACGTTAAAGTCATGACAAATACAATGAAGGCCCAAGACTAAACTGTTTTGATTAAAAATTAAAGCTGGGGTATGCAACTTTCGAATTGCCAGCAAGGGACAGTTAGATTGTGAAAGTATCCAACTGAAAGAATCCCACCCCCTCCCTTCAGGAAAGCCATTCCCCCAAAACACATTTTCAAGTGCAATGAGTCGAGGCAGGTAGGCAGGCCTGCTTATTAACAGTCCTGTGACAGCCACTGATACTGAATTGTTTTTACCTTTGTGTCAGAGCATTAATTTATTGATTTCTATCAGGAAGTAAAGAGAATTGCAATAAAAATTAAAAAATGCTTCTGAAATAAAGTGCCTACCCCAGCTTTAATATACAAACTCTAGGGCCACCGAGGCAGGTGACTGAAAGCTCACTAAAACACGACAACTTGACCTTTTCTGAATAATATCTCTATCTGTCTTCCAGATCCTTAACAAGTACGATTCGTGGATCTCCTTCCTCAGCAGCGTGCGGTACTGGATGGCCTTCAACGTTGAACGGGCCTGCCAGTCCTACTTTGGATGCGTTCAGTGTATCAGCGGCCCTCTGGGGATGTACAGGAACTCCTTGCTCCAGCGCTTCCTGGAGCCCTGGTACCATCAGACCTTTCTAGGCTCTAAGTGCAGCTTCGGTGACGACCGCCACCTCACCAATCGAGTGCTGAGCTTTGGCTACAGGACAAAGTTCACGGCGCGATCGCAGTGCCAGACTGAGACGCCGACCCAGTATCTGCGTTGGCTCAACCAGCAGACTCGATGGAGCAAGTCTTACTTCCGTGAGTGGCTCTACAACGCCCTGTGGTTCCACAAGCACAGCCTCTGGATGACTTATGAGTCTGTGGTCACTGGCTTCTTCCCCTTCTTCTTGGTTGCCACGGTCATCCATCTGTTCTACCGTGGAAGGCTGTGGAACATCCTGCTCTTCTTACTGACCGTCCAGCTGGTTGGGATGGTGAAGGCCACCTACGCCTGTTTCCTGCGTGGCAGCCTGGTCATGATCTTCATGTCACTCTACTCTCTGCTCTACATGTCCAGCTTGCTTCCTGCCAAAATATTTGCCTTGCTCACCATCAACAAGGCTGGATGGGGCACTTCAGGCCGCAGGAAGATCGTGGTTAACTTAATCGGTGCTGTGCCTGTCACAGTGTGGGCTATGGTACTGCTCGGAGGTGTGGTGTATACAATCTACTGTGAAACACAGGAGCCATTCAGTGAGACAGAGAAAGCTTTGTTGATAGCAGGGACGATACTCTACTCCTGCTACTGGATCATTCTGCTGGTGCTCTACCTGGCAATTGTAGCCAAACGGTGTAACAAGAGGGAAGAGCAGTATCACTTGCCATATGCGGAGGCATAAACCTGTTACCAGAGGCACTGGTAGGACATTTGTGCTGGGTTTCACTGCAGCGTGATTCTAGCAGGGTCTCCGTTGACCTTGTGAACTGCTCGAGTGACCAGCTGTGAACCAGGAACACAAACACTTCTTCATCACTGGTGCTAAAAAAGTGAATCTGAAATCTCAGCAGCAGGATTCTAATCCAGTTGGAGGAGACTTCAAGATGACTGGATCCATACAGCTCTCCCATTTATATCATGTTCAATGGTGCTTCACATTGAAAAACCAAACCAAACTGACCCAGTTTATAAAGTAATAGAAGAACATTAGGTAGTTTATAGGTTAGCTGTATAACTGTGATGAAAGGGTGCAGTACGGTGCTTTGACTGAATTTAAAGCACCAAACTGGAAAATAAGACTTAGATACATAAAGGTCTTGTGTGGTTTTCGTGTCCATTTTAATAAACATGAGATGGGATGAATTGTGATGGAACTATGATAAACAATAAATAAATAGCAAGACAATTGTCCCAAATGAGTCAGATCACCTCTATTTTAGATAAGAAGAGGGAATCTCATGTTGATTTAGACATTGGAGTGTACTTTAAAGGTGTTCAGACAGAAAGCAAAGTACAACAGTGGTGCCGTTGCCTTGCACAAATAAAGGTAAATTTGTGAAGGTGGCGCAAATGTAGGTATAGATTGAAAATGTGTCAACTTGAGTATAAAAATGTGTGCTTTTTAAAATCTATTTTAAATCTACTTTGTAAAAAAAAACATCCTTAATCTGAGATTAAAGTGGTAAATTAAGAGGTAAAACTCCCAAATGTACAAGAAAACACTTGACTATTCTCTGAGATTAAAGTCACAGGTTTACAAGAGAAAAACTTGGTAAATACTGTTTTAGAGATGTGTTAAAGGCAGGATATGCAGATGATAATAACAACAGCTGTCACATCTAACTTTCACCAACCAGTATTATGAAATACTTCCTTCTGTTCAAAGACCAAAAGCATACAAAATTGGGGAAGAACTGCAGACATTTTTAAATGACTAAGACGTGCTTTGTTGCAGCCTAACTGTCTAAAAGCCCACTTCTCTTAAGTCTGCATTGACTATTGTCTTGTTTGATTAATGACTGAAATAGAATATTAGAATATTACCCCCTTGCTCCGTAATTCATTTCATTCTACAATGGCCCTAATACGCCGTTGTAGAAAAGGGAGAGCGTCAGAGGTGACACACAAACACACGCACTCCACTCCATACACAGTTTGTGCATGAGTTCCTAGCTAGCTACAGCTAAGGAATGTCCAGTTGGTACATCTACTCTGTCAACAATAAACACTGACTGCACAAACAGTCTGGCAAAATTCATGTAGAAATTGGGTTTGTGTTCTGTGTCTTAATACAATACTCACATGCTATATGTGCATTGAAAGGTTGCTGAAATGCTTCCTCCTCTTCATACTGGCTAAATTGTAAACACTGGGGTACAAAATCCACAGTACTCGCTCTGTGTAAAAATGCATTCTAAAGTTCAGCCAGTTAACATGAACAGCATTGGTCCAGTTTCTTGAAAATTATAATCAAGTTTTACACATTACTCATTGAAAAAGCACATTACGTTACTTTACTAATTACTCAGCAGCAAAACTAATGTTTTACATTACTTTGGTGATTCAGCCCAGCTGCGTCAAACATGCCATGAAACAACTCTAAAGCCTTTACACCCATACGTAGAAATAGATACAATCCAATGTGGTTTGAGAAGCACCTTACAATTTGGAGAGGTTCACTGACCATCTGGCTGCTACCTTAGCCTCGATGACTGATGATAAAGTAATCACATTACATACTGCCTAACAGCAGATTGACCGTATTTCCCAGTACAAAATTCCCTCTTTTAAACTTTGTGAGCCACAGCTAAGGGATACTTCTGGGGATACTTTCTCCATCTCTTACAGATTAGTACATTATAAATGTATTGTTACACAGCCAGTATGAACAAAGGGAATGATTTCAGTGACTTAAAACTCCATCAATGTGCATATGAGCATGTGAGTACTGTATCGAGATAGACTTGAAACCAAGATACCATATTATGACAAAGACCTCTGTTGAAATGAGCCATTGTTCAGAAAATACAGAGAATGTGACAAGTTCTCCTGTCACACTACTTGCAATTAGATGTAGTGGTGTGAATGTCTACAGAGACTGAGCTCAGCTTTAAGATACTCTCATAGATTGACATTACATTTATTCGTTTCGCTGACGCTTTTATCCAAATTGACTTAAAATTGCTATCTGTGTCAGAGGTCACACGCCTTCACGAGGGGTTAAGTGTCTTGCTCAGGGACACATTGGTGGATGTGCCAAATTAGGGGATTGAACCCAGGTCTCTCAGACCAAAGGCATGTGTATTATCCACTGCTCCATCACCACCTCCTAGGTTACACTTTATAATGCGGGACACAACATTCTGAATAGTTACCATAGAACGAATGAGTAATGAATGAGGAACTAACTGCTAGGGAACAATTAGGTAATGAGTAACTCCTAATCATGTTTATAGATTAGCTAATGATTAGTTAAAAGTACCATTGTGTGATATTTAGGAGGATCTATCGACAGAAATGTAATAAAATATCCATAACTATATTTTCAGTGGTGTATAAAGACCTTTATGTTTTTATTACCTTAGAATGAACTATTTCTATCTACATAACCGCGGGTCCTCTTACATGGATGTTGCAATGTTGTGCCGCCATGTTTCTACAGTAGCCCAAATGGACAAACTGCTCTACAGAGAGCGTTTAGTCACTACGTTGACTATGTACAAAGAAGAAGTAGTAGTACTTGTCTGGTTCATTAGAAGTAAGAAGAGATGTGAAATTGGAGCACGTATTATTTAGCACAGGAGCCGACAGAGCGTGTCGCCCACCGTAGCTTCTCCTACACACTTGCAAAGGGAGGGGCGAGGGGTGAGTGAGCAATTCGGTTGTAATTCACAACCCGCACCATGAGATGTCAGCAAACACACTTACACACTGAACCTTAACTGAAAATGAGCGAGGAACAAATCAGGAATCACTTGATTATGGATGAATCCTTAATAGGTACTTCCCTAAAAATAAGAAGAACAATGAGTTATTAGAGAACAGACTGGGAGATCTGATATTAATGAATCAGTTCCTGAATATCTGTGAATCGATCATACTGACGACTTTCTTCATGAGTCACTCCTGATTGACTCTGAACCAGCCGGTGAGCGGCACAAAACTTGCAATGACTCATTCATTACTAATTACTTAAACATCACTTACTGTTTTTGTGTGCCCCCAAATAAAGTGATACATAACACAAAGAAGTTACTAAGTAGTCCCTCAATACTTCATCAGTGTCTTATGATTACTTACTCTTTTTGTGTCCCTTCAAGTAAAGCGGTGCAGCTTACTGAGTGGTGTACTGAGTTAATCAGCAACGACGTGAAGAAAGTTTGCCTCCAGCAGCCTGATAAAATGAGACTCGGAACACGGTGATATAGTTTAATCAACTTTACTCTCATTCTCTGAGATGGTACATCTTTTGTGCAACAGTGCAACCCCTAAGCCATGTCTCACTGTATGACAGTGGTCAGTATGATCGATTCACAGAAATTCATGAACTAATCACTTCACAATGATTTATTAATATCTGTTCTCTAGTAACTCATTATTATAGTCCTCCATTAGGGATTGTTAGGGAAGTAATGATTACATGTTTTAACAAATGCGTTTTTGTTCCTGTGTAGTAAGTGGTATTTCCTAATTGCCTATGCCTCAAAGGTATAGAAAATGGCAATTATTCCCCACAAACTTTGTTTTGTGACCAGGACAGTGATGATGAATGTACCTATTTCCAATGAGAAAACAGGCAAATGTGTGTCTTTTTGTTCACATAAAGTCAGAAAAAACAACATATTAATCCAAATTAACATGTATGTATACGCCGCCTTTGCCTCAGACAGCTTAGGGAAGACGTCTTGAAGGTACTTGAAGGCTGCCGACTCCTACTAACAAGGAACAGAAATTATGTTAGCGTGTTAATGATTTGTCAATAATCGTCAGTCCTGATTTATTCCTAACTCTTCTTTCTTCATTACCTGATCATTAGCTACTCCATCAAACTTGATAAGGACTCACTCATTAACAAATTGTTCCTTATCTGTTTGTCCCATGATGGAAAGCGCGACCCTCCCATCAGCTGTGAACAGCACAGTCATCTTCTCCAGCAGTATTTTGTGGAGCAGCTATGATTTACCAGAACGGACAATCCAACATTTCCTGTGTGTTTTTGGTGTGGTTGAGTACTTTCAAATGAGTAACTAATTATTGTAGTGCATCGTGGTCCAATTCTGAGTTTACAGCTACCAGTGGGTTTTAAGTGTCATTCTGTGTTTCAGATATTTTTATATGGTTCTGGACACTATTCTCTTACCGTGTCCTTTACAACAGTGTGAAGACCAAAGACATTTCTTCTTAAGTGAGTGACTTGAGAGCTTTGCTTTCACTCTTCTTTTTTTTTCATGTTTTTAAATATATCCGATTCAGTTTCTAAAAAATATTTCATAAACTAAACACGTAGCACATTTGTCAAGTGTGACACACAGCTGTCTTTTTGCTTTGCACAGTGGACATTTCCTCTTTGTGTTATATTATTTTGAGCGGGCTGTATAGGTTTAAACTTGAAACTTTAAAAACGGACACATCCATTGAAAGGTAAAATGTGTTTGGGCTCGGCTGGCCTTTCTGACTGTCAACCAGCAATTTAAGGGGCCTTGTTTCTTGATCTTCTGCTGTTTCCATCTCTGTGCATCACAGGATACTGGAACTTTCCTAAGACATTAAAAAAAGCTTCCTGTTTTGGACACAATCCTCCCATTCATACCAAACAGGGAATGTCTCCATTATTTAAATGACAGCACTGACATTTACCCCAAGCCATCTGTTTCAATATTCTGATCTTTTGTTCTAACTGTACTGTATGTTTATTTTTTTTTCAAGAATGAATTGGACTAGACATTAACATCAAAGGTCTAAAATACAAAGGCAAGGTAATCTGTACAGAAACAGGTGGTAGTGATCAACCTCTTTTTTTTCTCTTTTTTTTATAATCTCCCTTGTGTCAGTGAAAGTAAACAGGTAAATGTTTTAAGTTAAAATATTCAGTTTGTACATAAAAAACCCAAGTGGAAACACCGGAAATGAAAAATATTACAAATGTGGTTTTATGCCTGGCTGAGATGACGAAGTAACTGTAACACAGTAAGTGATTTTTCAAATATACCTTGATGTTGCAGTACCTGCTTCTGTTTGTTCTGCTGTACACAAAGAATTCATGTAATGCTGCCACTCTGGGGTGTTACAGAGCCACAGTTTTAGAAATCTAATCTACAACTGAATGGCATACCCAGTGTGTTGTTCATGCCATCAAGAGCTTTAATGTAATGAGCACTGCACTGCTAGGGGCTGCTGGATCTAGGTGGGCTTTAGACATTTAGTCTTATTTTCCACCAGCACCACTTTATAAATGCCCACATCCATGAGCGGGGACTTACTTGAACTGGATGAAGACTACTTTCTAGGACCTCTTGATGAAAAGCTTCATTATTTCACTGTATCCATCGTATTTCTTTCCAAGCCAGTACGTGATGTGGCAAGACTTTAAAAACATGTTGCCAGCGTGTGTGTGTGCGTGCGTGTGTGTGTGTGGGAGGTGTCTGAATGCTGAGGAAAGGGGACTGGAGCTTCACAGCAGCTGAATAAATCGGTCCTTTCAGTCAGCATGCACAGGTTGGCTTTAACTTCAGGGAACACACCTGAACATGGGAACCGCCTTCATCACAAACACACACCCTCACAAACACACACACACACGCTGTAAATAAAATGCTGTATGGTAGAGGACTGAATCAAATTTTTTGAATGTTTTACCAAACTAATCTCTCAGCTGTTCACCAGCTCTTACAGTCTTAGCTTTTTTTTTACTTTTAATTACTGTGTGCAGCGCTGCTCTAAGCCCAGCTTTACTTTATCACAGCATCACTTTCAGATTGTGACCTGGCTGTATGGTCACAGTCACATTTCTTTTGCCAAAACGTTGACATTTATTCAGTGTGAATCCTGATAAAGTTCATCTGTCCACTTACATTTTTTCAATTTAAACTGTATTTTCCAAACTGACAGTCACTGAAACCTCCTGAGGTCCGTCCCAATACCCACCCTTGCGGTATTTGCCAGAAGGCGAGTGCCTACTTCTTTAATATATTTCTGGCAACTGCCACAGTGCCCACAAGAAGACAGCAAGTGAATGAATGAACGCTTCTGTCTAATAAAAATGGAGGTTGTTTGGAAATGATTAATGACACTGATGCTGAATCCAGCAAGTGATAAACTTCTTTTCCCACATGGGACGCATTTGTCTAGCACCTGCTGTCGCCTGAACGCACACATAAGCGCTCAAGACAGAAAATGTGGTTATTACACAGAGCTTATATTCTGTCTCTATCTGAATAAAAGACAATGTTGCATTCTTATTCCACTCGCCTTGTACCATTTACAAGATGAAAATAACAATTTTCTTATACAACTGGCATGAATTCTTTTAATTTCTGAAAAATGAATTCTGGGAAATGCGAAAAGCTACCAGAAGCAGAAGTAAATGTAGTGGGTAAATAGAGCAGGTAAACCGCTATCAGAGGAAATCTCTTCATCAAAGAGCATCTCCTGGAATCATAAAGTCATTATTAAACAGTCAGAGTCGACCGGGAAGACTTTTGTGTACAGTTTATCTGAACGCAGTGGCCTAAGGTTATGAAGTGGATTTACAGTATTTGGGAAATGTACGCCTTCTGTCATGAGGTGCAATGTGGTGGAAATGTCCGTTCCAGTCGCAACAAATGATAAGGTTGCATGTGTGTCCCTAGTTTGGATACTTATGGACTGAAGCTGAAATCTTTGTTTTCATAGAAAATACTTTAAATGATTTAGTATTGCATCCAGAAAGGGATTCTTGTCAGTGTGCAAAAACCTTTGAAACAACATTCAGACCATCATGGAGCTTTAAATATTATCTATAAATGTACGTCCGGGGAGCCTCATTAAAGTCTCTCGCTGGAATAAGTTCAGCGTCAGGTTAACAGGATTGATCAATTGTACAATAAATGTATAATCTAACTAGGTCATGTTAGAATTGGATGACACCAACTGAAGTATAACTGTTAAAATAAAATAAAAAGTCCAGCACAAGACAGATGGATCCGTCTGTGACCATAATGCAGTCACTCTACACCTTCTTGGGTACATTAGTGATGATGGGTTTAGGGCGCGTCTTAAAGATCAGCTTCCGTTTGATGAGGGCAGTCACAGAGTAAGAGGTGGAGGTGGGTCCTTGCTGGTTCGTTTCCATGGGTACCTGTCGGACATCGTCGTCGTCACGGTTGTCCAGGCTATCCTGCGCATGGCCTGAATGCTTGGTGAGGACAGCGAAGGGTTTCTCCAGTTTGACCTGCTTCCCATATAGAATATGATGTCCGACAATCAGCACGGGCACCCCCTGCAGGAGGGAGGAAGAAAACAGCAGAGACTGAGGGATGGGGAAAGGATCGGCAGAGGCATGAAGATATTCAAGACTCCCGGAACCCCCCTCCCCACGATAACCATTTATAACTAGAGCAACATCAGTAGAAAGTTTCTCAAAAGTGTCTTGATCGATCTTGAGATTTTTGAACACATATTGATCTGTGAATTGTCATCATAGAAACAGATCATCAGATTGTGATGTTTATTGCAGCTTCAGCGTTATCGTCTGCCTTCCCTTTGACACACAATGTCTCGTGAGTGTTGATAGGCTATTTTTCGATACTTGTAACTAATCAGACATTAAGCAGACAGAGAGAGGCAGCTGGATCAGAGCCAAAGTAGCATTAGTATTTTAAAATTTATTTAACCCTAACAAAACTACAGATCGATCCGAACTGTGTGTTTTGTGATAAGTTGCATCACTATTGAAGTAGGGAGGGATAACTTTTGTGTGAAAATTATTCAGCAGAGGTAGGGAATATAAATCATCACTTGACTAACTGATAAATCACTTTGATCTATGAAAAGTCAGAAATAGTGAAAAAATTACACTGCTCAAAAAAATAAAGGGAACACTAAAATAACACATCCTAGATCTGAATGAATGAAATAATCTCATTAAATACTCATTTCTTTACATAGCTGTGCTGATAACAAAATCACACAAATTATCAATGGAAATCAAATTTATCAACCCATGGAGGTCTGGATTTGGAGTCACACTCAAAATCAAAGTGGAAAACCACACTACAGGCCGATCCAACTTTGATGTAATGTCCTTAAAACAAGTCACAATGAGGCTCAGTAGTGTGTGTGGCCTCCACGTGCCTGTATGACCTCCCTACAACGCCTGGGCGTGCTCCTGATGAGGTGGCGGATGGTCTCCTGAGGGATCTCCTCCCAGACCTGGACTAAAGCATCCAACTCCTGGACAGTCTGTGGTGCAACGTGGCGTTGGTGGATGGAGCGAGACATGATGTCCCAGATGTGCTCAGTTGGATTCAGGTCTGGGGAACGGGCGGGCCGGTCCATAGCATCAATGCCTTCCTCTTGCAGGAACTGCTGACACACTCCAGCCACATGAGGTCTAGCATTGTCTTGCATTAGGAGGAACCCAGGGCCAACCGCACCAGCATATGGTCTCACAAGGGGTCTGAGGATCTCATCTCGGTACCTAATGGCAGTCAGGCTACCTCTGGCGAGCACATGGGGGGCTGTGCGGTCCCCCAAAGAAATGCCACCCCGCACCAAACCGGTCATGCTGGAGGATGTTGCAGGCAGCAGAACGTTCTCCACGGCGTCTCCAGACTCTGTCACGTCTGTCACATGTGCTCATTGTGAACCTGCTTTCATCTGTGAAGAGCACAGGGCGCCAGTGGCAAATTTGCCAATCTTGGTGTTGGGCTGTAAGCACAACCCCCACCTGTGGACGTCGGGCCCTCATACCACCCTCATGGAGTCTGTTTCTGACCGTTTGAGCAGACACATGCACATTTGTGGCCTGCTGGAGGTCATTTTGCAGGGCTCTGGCAGTGCTCCTCCTTGCACAAAGGCGGAGGTAGCGGTCCTGCTGCTGGGTTGTTGCCCTCCTACGGCCTCCTCCACGTCTCCTGATGTACTGGCCTGTCTCCTGGTAGCGCCTCCGTGCTCTGGACACTACGCTGACAGACACGGCAAACCTTCTTGCCACAGCTCGCATTGATGTGCCATCCTGGATGAGCTGCACTACCTGAGCCACTTGTGTGGGTTGTAGACTCCATCTCATGCTACCACTAGAGTGAAAGCACTGCCAGCATTCAAAACATCAGCCAGGAAGCATAGGAACTGAGAGGTGGTCTGTGGTCACCACCTGCAGAACCACTCCTTTATTGGGGGTGTCTTGCTAATTGCCTATAATTTCCACCTGTTGTCTATTCCATTTGCACAACAGCATGTGAAATTGATTATCAATCAGTGTTGCTTCCTACGTGGACAGTTTGATTTCACAGGAGTGTGACTGACTTGGAGTTACATTGTGTTGTTTAAGTGTTCCCTTTATTTTTTTGAGCAGTGTATTTTTCCCTTTCAGATTCACACGCAGTCTGTGGTACCACACAGTGTGCGTTGGCCATCCCTCTATGGACGGAGACTTTTCTCGCAGGAGAGGATTGACATAAAAATTAAAGAAATATTACTAATAATTATTGTTGTCTTGGCTTGGGTGGTATCACGGTATACCAGGGAATTTAGAAATCCTGACAGTACGTCTCCATACTGTCAGGATGCTGTATAGAGCTGAATGCAAGCGGCAAACGCCGTGTGAAACTGCCTGACATCATCTTCAAAGCAATAACTCCCTTCACGCTTTCCCACCAGCTGGGAAACACCGGAAACACCCACACAAGCTTTAAATGCAGCCTTTATTCTCTGACTGTACAAACTGTAAGCTACTCCTCCCATTTACTGCTGAACTCCCCTACACACCTTTTGCTCTGATGCATTCACCTGTCGCGCACTCCAGCTTTAACAGTGACCCTCATAACACAACAGTTAAACACCAACATGTCACCCAGTCCATGTGCTGTGAAGGACCCCTCATTGGTTTAGCTATCAAGGAACATGATGCCAGAATCTAACCTCTCTGTGCAACTGTTTTGTTTTGTAACCACTTTGAGCTTAGTTAGACAAGGTGTCCTTCAAAATATAGGCCTGTGCTGTCCCTGTGTTCCAGTGAATTCTGCACTATTTGAATCACGTCCTGCTTTCAGTACAGGCTGAGCTCTATCACAGAACGAAATGAGCGCTTTCTGTTTGGCCACATAGTATCTCTAAAACTCAGTCAGCATTTGAAAAGCACCAGTGTTTCTCTGTCTTGGGCTTACCTCTTTGGTGTACAGCAGGTCTCCCATCACGTTTCCTGCCAGACCAGAGTTGTGTCTGGAAACCATCTCCCCCTGCAGCTCCACCAGCATCCACTCTGGAGGACTGCTGCCATCCACACTGCCTCTGCAGGAGCAACATAACAAAACCTTTAAGAATCCCATGAGCTAACGTTACTTTCCAGTTTCACTCCGAAGCACTTAATGAATAAAATGTCAGCTTACTGATTCCATATTCCTCTCACATCACGTTACTTCTTCTGTGTTTCTATGTTAGCACTGTTCTCCTAAAACCGCGCTAATGCTACTGTCTGAGGATGTCCTCCAGATATTATAAACTTTAACTAACGTTGGCCTCCATTTACCGTTAAATCGCTAGAAATACAAATTTACCAGGCAATAGCAAAATAAACTAAAGTCAGTTCATCATTCTTACCGTATCACCATTTGTACCATTGTCCTGTCAGATAGCAAAGACCGTCGTGTAACATTAACACTGATAAAAAGGAAAAAGGCCCACAGGTTATCAAGACATTCAACGTTCCGCTAAAACGGTCACAACACAGCTCACTTTTCCGGTAGAATTTCCCGCCAAGTGTGAGTGCTGTCACTGCGATGACGTATTTCCGTTTTGGTGATCCATTACCGGTTCAAAGGTCCTCAACGTGGCCCCTGGTGTTTTCAAGCGTGTGGAGTTAACAGCAAAGAAAGTGTAGTGGTGCTGGAGGGAAAACAGCAGGTAAACCGTGTTTTGCTGAACTGAAGTGAATGTTGAATGTTGAATGGTCTCACCTGCGAGGTTTTTGCTTTTGCTAACGAACAGCAGGGTAAACGTTACAGGTTGTCTCTTGCTGTCCGCTGCCCCGTTTTAGTAACCTGTTTGTGTTTTCCACTCTAGTGAAAATGGGTGAGTTCAAGGTGCACCGGGTTCGGTTCTTCGACTACATGCCCAGCGCTATCAGAGCCATGGCGTTTAACAACCGCACTGAGCGGCTGGCTCTGGCTCGGGCTGACGGAGCTCTGGAGATCTTCAACTTCGCTGACAACTACTTCCAAGAAAAGGTAACAACTCGGAAGAAATCCAGACAAGCTTGTTCATTTGTTCACTCGTGTCTGGCTCTCTGAAGTCACCTGCTGTATTCTGCACTCTACATAAACAACTGAACACTTGGTTAATACATGTGCCATGTTTTTAGGTGTCTACATCCTGTTTACTCATTTGAATAAGCTTTAGTAATGAGAGTTTAGAGAACGGTAGACATCCAACTCTGCACATAGACAAATACTAAACTGCTCAATGTCTTAATGGAGTAGATCATATGGCTGGTTGTGGGGCTAGGTCAGATGTGCAGGGATAACCTCCAGACTTGCTTTGATTGTGATACACAGGTCATCCCAGGACAGGACGGCCGGGCTGTTGAGGCTCTGTGCTGGGTGGGCCAGCGTCTGTTCATTGCCGGTTTGAACGGAGTGATCACAGAGTACGACCTGGAGAACCTGAGGCCCAGGTACTCTGTGGAGGCCTATGGAGGACCAATCTGGACCATCACTAGCAACAGCCAGGGAACACTGCTAACAGTCAGTCAATACCTCGTGGATATTATATTTACTCTACGCCTCATCTGGCCTTCGGCATTGAATGAATGTTTTTTTTGTGTGTCAGGTCGGCTGTGAGGATGGAATGGTGAAGATTTTTGAAGTACTGGAGGAGAGGATTCAGTTTCAAAGAAACCTCGACAGGCAGAAAGGTAAAAGAACAATCTGAGGCTGAGGGGTGTTTTTCATCTGGGTAGTGTTAGGTTCAAATACAGTCTGTGCATACAGTAACTTACATTTGTGTCCTGCAGCCCATTAATTATTAAAACTCTTTGACCAGTGTCCAAAATGTAACTAAAAGTTTTTTTATCTAGAAACTAGTGTGGTTGTAACTTTGTGGAGGAACAAGTAATTAATTAAATTTTTTACCCAAGGACAAATGTGATTATTTTCTTGTGAGTCGGTAATTTTGGAGCCCGTCTGTGACTTTCAGTGTTTCAGCTTGTTTCCTGTGGTCTTCTAGGTCGTATTATATCTCTGTCCTGGCATCCATCTGGTACACTGATTGCCGCCGGCATGATGGACATGATCAGAATCTTTGATGCTGAGACAGGTAAGCAGATACGGCTCGATCCTGAAATGATTAGCACTGAGCCTACTGCCAGTTATTGTAAGGTAATATCAGAAGATGAGCTTGGTGTTAACTCCATGTGTTCTGTAAATATGGCGTACTGATATTGTGAGCTTTCAGTCTTTGTTTTCTTATTCTGACCTCAGGCCACGCCACGCACAGGCTGCTGGTGGACAGGGGTGTCGGAGCATCCAAGAACAAAGAGGTGGTGGTTTGGACCATCGTGTTCCTGTCCGACCACACCATCATTAGCGGTGATTCTGCGGGAAAGGTCCAGATCTGGGACGGACTCACTGGAACTCTGGTTAGAACTCACCTGGTCACCAAGTGGGACGTTCTGGCTCTGTCTGTTTCACAGGTAAGTGTGCAATCAAGAACCAGGAGGACACATTACACAACCCCATCCCTGCAGAACCAGTGATTGTTAACTTTCCAAATATGTAACAGGATGAGAGCAGTCTATTAGCTGGGACGTCAGAGGGCACCGTCATCCAGTTTCAGTTCATCTCCTCCACTGTGGACCAGCAGGATAAGGAGTGGGTCAGAACACGGACCTTTAAAAACCATTCGCATGATGTGAGAGCACTCGTCCACACGGAGACTGCAGTGGTTTCTGGAGGTCAGTGTTAAATCTGCTGTTGGTGATTTGTGAATTTTTTTTTTTTTAATTATTATTTTTCTTTATTGAATGAACCCTCAAATCATCATACTTTAAACAAAGTAATAGATGTCTGTTATAAATAGTGATAGTTCAGTATTTAGCTATATGTGGCTCTTTGCATGGCAGTGTCAGTCAGTCTTTGGTCCAGACTGAAATGTCTCAAAACTATTAGATGGATTGCCATGAAATTTGGTTGAGATCTTCATGTTCCCCTTTAGGATGATTTGATTAGACTTGGGTGACCCCTGAACCTTTTCTCTAGCTCCATGATCTGGTCAAATTTAAAAATTGTCCCGTAAAACTAATGACATTCCCATCAGCCTCAGATGGACGTTGAGTTTAGTGCTAATAAGCAAACATGGACTCTATAAACATACTAGTGTTAATATGTTGAACAGCGTCAGAGCTGTTAGCATGGCTGCAGACTAGAGTCTGACTCATATGGGATTTTTAAGACCGATAGGAGCAATGCAATTCTCATAACAGTATTGACGTATCTGTCTTTCGTCTCTCTTTTTTAATTGTCATTTTAGGCTGTTATAAACACCAATACTGATTTATCTGCAACCAGCTCACATCAGCCAATTTATTTATTGGGCTCTACTGCAGACTCTTAGGCCCAATCTCAAGTCCACACTCAGTCAGATGCATGTCTTTGGGGGCTTAGGTCCATCCCACTGTCAAATTGTCAAGACTTTGCCTGAGGGAATTGCTCACAGTTCATAGCGTTGTGATCTGAAAGTGGTTACCAGGGGAAACCATGAAGCGAGAGGAAAAATCACGGCAAATCTGCCTTATGAGAGGAGAAGAAAGAATTTCCAGACAAGCATTTAAGGAGCAGCCAACCTTGACACTAACATGGTTAGGAAAATTTGTATGGATTTAAGTTTGTATATTAGAACACGTGAAATCAAAATGCTATCAACTTATCACACACCTAATTAATCAACTACTTATTTTAGCTTTTGCTTAATGATGCTGTTTTGACCAACACTAGTGCATTGATTATTGACAATTACCTCTCGTCCATTCTGTAGGCCAAGAGCTTGCAAGGCGTATAAATCTGGCATTAAGAAAGTAAAAAACGTAAAATAAAAAGTGTGCATCATGTTTGATTTTGAGCGCTTGCAGCCTCATCCACTCACTTACTTACCAGGAGATGTCCGTTAAGTTTGAGGGTTCAGGGCGTGACTCCACATTCCGATTAAACATTGTTAAAGGACATCAGTAGGGATATCTAACTTTTATTTAACTGTTACATGCAAAGCCCAAATTGTCTGCACAGTCCAAAACAATACTGTTCCACTATATCATACTGAATTTGTTGCAGTGAAATAGTGCTGTCAGTCATGTTATATATTAAAGCTGAATGCGTTCTACATCTGACCTCTACAGCATTTCACTAAGAGTAGTAGTTACACCTGGCCCGACTTTTGCAGTAATGCAGTCCCATGTCATGCAACAACACATTAGCTAATTTGGTATTCGTTTAGGGGCTCATCTTAAGGGCTAGGCAACGTTGGAGAACTAGCAAGAGGTAGCTAGTAACTATTTTTTTTTTTTTTTTAAAACCTGTCCTGCCCAGCAGCCTGGTATAGAGTATAATGACCTGGATACCATATTGTGCCAGACAGATTTTACTTTAACAAGAGAGTATTAAAATACTCCTTTGTCTGTTTTATTATTTATTTAATTATGTATTGATTTGTCACCGGGCCGGACAGGGGGGCAGACACGGGGATGGGGGGGCACAAACAGACAGCACAGAGAAAGGACAAGACCTGTAAGAGAAGGGGGAAAGGGGGATGGAGGGTGGGGACAACAGAGAAAAGCTGTGGGAAACACCAATTGCAGAAAGCAACGAAACCTGCAAGAGAACAGAGAGGGGGGCTTGGGGAGGAGAAAAACAACAACAAACAAACACAAACAAAAAAAACAATAAAAATAATAATAATAGTAAAAGAAAACCAGCCGAACAGCAGCAATAAACAGCTGACATATTAAGACAACTAAGAGAACAATGAAAACAAGAAACAGTCACACACACTAAATAAGCAACACAACACAGCCACGAGAGCTGGAATAATAATTAATTTAAATAAGTAACTGAAAGAAAGGCATCAGGAATAATTCTACCAGGGACAACCTAAGTTTGTTTGTGTCTGTGTGTGTCTGTGTGCGTGTGGGTGAATGTGTCTGTATGTGTGTGTATGTACGTGTGTGCGCATAAGCCTGTTAAAGAATGTAGTTGTTAGAGAGAGTGGGACGCCACGACTGTAACAGGCAGGCAAGAACCCCAGTAGCCAATAGGGGTGGAAGAAAGAAAAAGAATAAATCAAAAAAAAAAAAAAACAAAGACTCCCAGATGCACCGCGATGCAAACGCAGAAGACCCCGACCCAAATGCCAGTTGACAACGTAATGCCGACGGAACCGAAAGAGGAAGAGCAGCGCCCGGACCGACCGCGGCGCAGACACAACATAGACCAGTGGCCCCCCCCATCCAGCACCCCACCGCCGCGCAGCAAACAACCACAGTGCCCAAATGCCACGCAATCATCAACACCAATGCACAAGTGACGAGCCCAACGCGCACACTGCGCGAGCACGGCGACACCCATGCCCAGCAGCCCCCCGCGAATCCCGCGTGCGAGGTCGGGCAAATGAGAGAGAGCAAACGGACAACACGACAGCGAAAGCCAGCGGAGAGAGACACCAGCAGCAAGCCCCAGCCCGGCAGCAAACGCGCCGCACAGG